TGTCCTGGATTTCTTAACTGGTGTAAATATCCCTGACATATAATGCTAATCATTAAATACTATAGTTAGGATTACCCATGCCATCTTATTTCCCTTGGCTATGTATGGTTGTGAAAGCTGAAGAGTGAAGAAAGAAGATAAGAAGAGAACCAACTTGTCTCAGATGTGGTGATGGAGAAGAGTTTTGCAAATATCACTCACTGCTAAAAAGACAAATAAATGAGTCCTAGAACTGTTCCTAGAAGCCAAGATGCCTAATCTGAGTCTGTCATACTTTGGACATATCATGAGAAGACAACATTCAGTAAAACAGATAATAATGCTTGTTAAGGTAGAAGGCAACAGGAAAAGAGGAAGATTGCATTCCAGATGAATAGTCTCAATCAAGGAAGCTGTGGTTCTGAGTCTGCAAGACCTAACCAGTTGGTTGATGATAAGGGAATGTGGAGAGCTCTCATTCATGAGGTCAGTTCAGTTCAGTTCATCTTTATTATGGTCATAGACCAGCACAAATTCATGAGGTTACCATAAGTCGAAGTCTACTTGATGGCACTTAACAACAACAAAAGAATGACTCAATAAATAAATAAAAATGCTTAAGATGTTTGCATTGTAACCCCAGATGGTTCAAGATCCTGTGAAACTGAGCTCAGAGAGGCTTGAGTGCAATAGATGGTACATGTATCTTTGCAACCGTGATGATTGCATTACAACTATCATAAAGCATGAGAGGACAAAGCCTCACATACTGAGGCATTTTAAAACAGATATAGCACTTTAGCAGTGTTGTAGCTGGGGCTTGACAGTGCATTCTCTGTCTTCCAGATCTACTTTTTTCCTGTCTTGAGATGGGATCTGGAGAGAGAGAGAGAGAGAGAGAGAGAGAGACTAGTTGTGCAGATTTACAACATTATTTGGTTTGAGTCATCCTAAAGTTGCCGCTGGTATATTATTATTGTTATTAGTTTTATATACGCTCTGCTCTCCCCCACAAATCAGCACTCAGCTTACAAATGTAGCCACCTTGGATCTTCTTTTGGGGGAATGGAAAGATATAAGTTCAATAAATAAATAAAATACAATTAAAACAAATATGCCTAAATACCCTAAAGTCACCAGATTCCATCTGATCTTGCAAGCTAAACTGGATCTGCTCTGGTTAGTATTTGGAGGTGTGTACTTTTTCAAATGATCCAGCATTTGAGTTTCTGATATATACATATGTAACACACACTGTGACTGTGCTGTTAGGGGAAAAAAAGTGAAATGACTGCTCTTAAGACTACTTTTTCTGCATCCCTCCTAAGAGAGCTAAATAGTCTTTGCTCTTGCTGTGTGCTCACCCCACTGACAGTTTATGTAAACAGGGTTTGCAGGATTTTGATGATGCTTAAAAACTTGTAAACCAAAAGCATAATAATCATTGTTCTGGGTCTTTAAGTCATTTCTGACTTATAGTGACCCTAAGGCAAGCCTATCATGGAGTTTTCTTAGCAAGATTTGTTCACAGAGGGTTTGCCTTTGTCTTCCCCTGATCTTGGGCAAGGTATGACTTGTCCAAGGTCACTTAATGGCTGAGCAGGGATTTGAACCCTGGTCTCCAGAGTCATAGTCCAATGTTCAAACCATTGTACCATACAATGTTCAAACCATTGTGCCCTTTGTATCTAATGATGTCTCTGTCATAACCAATCTACTGTTTTCGTTCTGTAGCCATTGATGATTTTACAACTGTGGTGCATAATACTACATACTTAATGTCCCTTACTAGAAATATATACAGTAGACAAAATAAAATATGTCATATGCTGTTTCCATCCCACAGTTGCTGTTTGGAGTTATATGTGAATATGCCAAGAGAGAGCAGTAAAATCTCCTGAAGCTGAACAGCAGCCGTTACTGCCTGGTCGTCATGATCAGGAAATCACCTGCCACTGCTTGTTTCCATTTTGCAAAATTTTTCTACACAGAGAATGTGCAGTCAGTGGGGGGTTTAAAAATCCTGACATTTAACCCTTCATAAATTCAGCACTCTCTTACAGTAGAGAGGTAGTTATGTTATGACATAAGTGTGTAGCAGATTAAAGATTTAATAGTATCCGTTTGGCAGTTGTTTTAAACAAGTGATGACAAGAAGGATTGGGAAAACCTCTTTTGTTGGTGGAGTAATAGTTCTGGTATGGTGATTAGATGAAACCTAAGTCCAGTTTTCGCAGTCTGCTTTGCTGTGAATTATTTCCATTACTTTTTTGTATCTTTCAAGAGATGGCACCTTCCTCACTCAGACAGGCAGGCCTATGCTTCTGCAAAATGTTGCCCTGCATTTATTTGCAGTTTATTCTCTGTCTTGGGCATCGGAGATAGTTATTAATTGAAAAATGATAATAAAAAAATTGAAGCACCATTTAAAAATGCTAACAATGCATTCTGATTTCTCTTGAATTATATAAATCACATATGCTTAATGCAGATAGAATGTGAAACATGATGTTCATCAACAATATGCTTTACATATCATGTTACAGAAAGCTACAAAGCTTAGTTCAGGGGTAGGCAACCTAAGGCCCATGGGCCGGATGCGGCCCCCTGAGGCCTTTGGACCAGCCCCAGGTCGGTCTTGCTGCCGCCCCCGCCGCTGCTGCTGCCCGCCATAATGATATTGATTATTGTTGTTATTATTTGTTCT